AAAAAAAAAAAAATGCTCTGGAAGTGGAGCCAGGTTGGAGGAAGCAGGTCACCAGGATTGTCCTCAGACCCCAGCTCTCTCTCAGCATTTCTACCCCACACACTTCTGCCCTGATGTTTCTGCCTCTGCTCAGATCTGAAAGCAACAGAACCATGGCTAAAACCTCTAAAACCATGAACCAAACAAGTGTTTCTTCTTGTTATTTGTTAATTTTGACTCAGCAAAACAAAGGTAACACATATACAGATTTTTTGTAATTCTTTTCCCTTACCCTTCACATACACATTCACAAACACATACCCGGGTTGACATTACCAAGATATTCTAAATGGCTCATTCGACAAAAATATTTACTAAGCTACTTCTATATTCCATGCATTATAACTAAAAAACAAATTTTTGTCTTTGTAAATTACTTAGATTAATAGGGGATTCCAATACTAATGAAATTATTAATTAAAAATATATAGAGAAAGAGAATCTGAGTAAAAGAACACAGTGTAATAGTTAATAAAATTGTCTCCTGCATCCATGAAGCCAGTCATGGTGAATGTCACATAAAATTGGATTATAAAAAGACTGTGACATCTGTCTTATACTCACTTGAGTTCTCTGCGTGTGTCTCTCTGTCTCTATCTCTCTGTCTCTCTCTCTCCGTATATGTCATATATATATCACATATATGTATCTCATCTTTGCATCTCAGGAGTTGAGGGAAATGCTTAACTTACAATATATACTCAGTAAATAATTTTTGAGTTAAGGCAAACAGTTTACTATGTACTATAAAATATTTTTACCTCTTTCAGACCTCAGGTAATATATATAAATTTTCCCAGGTAAATAAGGCCTACTGAAAACAATTTCAAGTAGTGAGACTAATAATGGAGAGTTTCAGGAAAAGAAAATTACTCAGCAAGTAACTCAGTAGAGAGCACTGTGCTATAGGCATGCTAATAACATTTATTATGGAGAGTTGTCTAGAGAAACGTGTCATGCTCTCAAAATATAGTTTGGCTCTTGTTCTGTGTGATATTAAAGATAAGCTTTTTTGGGGCAGGGATTTATCTCAGTGGTGCTGCCGCCTGCCTCGCAGGCACAAGGTTGTGAATTCGATCCCTTGTACCCCCCCCAAAAAAAGATAGGCTTTTTTGTGCATTTCCTAATTTTACCCTTCTATGACTATGATAGATTTTTAGTTTGAATATAATTTTATCATTTATATTATTGTCCTATTGTTTCTCAGTTGACTCACTTTTTATCATTACTTCTTTTGTTTTGAAGATATTCTTTAAAATAGTCTTCTTATGAAGGTTTCTTGTCCAGTGCTTTGGATTTGACTTTCCAGAAATGTTCATTGATTTAATTTTGTAAATATATCACATGTTATTTCACTTAAAATGTTTTCTGTTGTGTGATGCAAAACTGTAATACATACACTTTAACCTGATTTAGTGATGTATTACAGTTTTGAATCACACAACAGAAAGACAGGGAAGGTGGGTGAACAAGACTGGATTATTCCCTAGTCCTTTTTTTTCGCTGTGTGGACAGTGATCCTCTTCCTCATTCTCTTCCTGTACTGAAGTTCACAGATACAGTTAGTAGTCTCTATCCCTTGCTTCTAGTTATTACCACATCAGGTGATATATCTCCCTCCTTGCACTCCATCAGCCTTCATCAACCTCAAGCCTGGGTGTACACATATGCCTTTGTGCTTCTACGCCCTGTCTTGAGTCCATTAGCCATATTTACATTCCTGTTTATAATCCCTTTATTTAATTATTTCAGTGAATTTTTAAACTATACCAGTTATTTGCCTCTAGAGTCACAAACCATAAAATGTTGAATTATTTGGTTTAGGATATATAGTAAATTATTTCTCTCAAGTCAAGGAAATATCCTTAACTCCAATGATAAGAATGGAGATTTGAAAATTTAGATAAGGAGTATCAATTTTGCTAACATATGTGTAATTGATATTACAGATTTCTTAAAAAGTAAAATATGAGTGGGTAGAACTGAGGCTAGATTTCAGTTGCAATATCATAAATATTAAATATCTTATCCAGGGCATTTACACAGGGGGCATTCTCTTTATCTCTTTTGGAAAATGTTGAAGATAAGTCCTTGGAAAACAAAAGGATAGCATTTAGGTGGCCAGATCAAATTAAGTATGGACTAAATCCTAGTTCCAGGGTAGTAGGGTACAGCATCAAGATTTTGAAGTTATGGGATGAGTTGAGGGAGTATGATTGCCAGTTTTATATGGAAGAAGTTTGCAAGAACATATATACTCAGCCATTAAAAATGAGAAATTAGAGACATTTATAGCTAAATAGATGCACACTGAGGCAATACTCTTAAGTGAAATAAATAGGACACACGTGTAAATACCGAAGTTTCTCTAGTGTGAGAAACTGAAAGGGTAAATAAGAACTAAAAGGTATAATAGATAATATGAACTAGGAAGAAAAGGGGCAAAGGTGAAGGGGAAGGGAGGTAGGGGAAAGGAAAGAAGGGAATGGAATTAATATGAGAAAATGAAAAAAAGGAAACAAAGTCTTTGTAAATAGGGAGGGATGGAGGAGTTGAAGGGAGGCCAGGGGTATGGGGAGAACCCCAAGAGAGATTATGTAAAGGTGCAAATTTCCAATGATGAACATCATTATATTGTATACCTAAAATGTACCAATAAAATTAATTTAACAAAAGAAAAAAAAGAACAAATATCTGGGATCTAAACCTGGAAAGTTACTCGTACAAAATAACTAAGGTCAATATTGGTTTTTGTTCTCAAAGATTCAGGAAGCGTGTAAAATTGTTAAACAGAATGGCTGACTGTTGTGGGAATGTAATACATGGAAATCATTTCACTTAGCTGGGCTTCCAACTGATATATCCATCACAGAAAATTTGGGATAAGACAGATTGTCCACCTAACTCTGCTCACAACCCATACTCAGGACCTGTGCAGACAAAGCTCTTAGGAAACAGCGATCATAGTATGTCAGGAAGGTGGACCTGGTCTAGATAAGCCTGAGCACTGTGAGACGCATACCATTCAGTAAATAAAATAGCTATCACTTCATTCAGCCTCGAAATAAATTGAAAATAATTGATCCTGTGAAGCTTTCCCAATAACACCTACTTTTACTTTATACAGAGTCAAATATTCCAATTCTCAGGTAAAAATAAAAGTGCTATAGATGCTTCAATTCTCATATTTATCATGATAGGAGTGGAGCAAGTGTAATGTATCTCTGAGAAAAGGATTCAAGTGATTTGTAGTTGAGATTTTCTAGATTTGAATTCCAACTCCGTTCTTCCTATCTGTAAAACCTCTCTATATTTTTTTCAAGTTCTAAGTGTCTTGATTTCCTCACAGGAGTGAGGATTCTTGAGATCAGTAAAGTCTTTATTCCTTGGGAAAGCTATGATAACTGAATAAGACAATACACATAAAAATATTTTATAGAATAGCTGGCACATAGTAAGTATTTAATAAACCTTAGCTGCTTTATTTTATGTGTGTTTTCCTAAAATAATTCTGTGTATACCCTAAAAATAGATTTCTATATTATTTATCATACATCTATCACTGTTTATCATACAATAAGTGCTAAATAAATATGTGCTTAACAACTGAGGTTAATTTGTTCTACAAATTTGTTTTCTTATTTCAGAGGAAAATAAAATATGTATACTGCCTACTTATTGCAGTTGTCACTGAAGCTTCCATGATAATAACTAGAAAGAGGACAATAGTTCACTGTCATTTAAATGTCTGTCTTTTTAAAAATTAACACCAGCACATAGGTCTAAATGCATACCTGCACTCTTAGGTGCAAACAGGAATGCATTCACTTTTTTCTTACAATAATTATTTAAAAAAAATAAAAACATTAGTAAACTAATAACTAAAATATATTAAGAGGTACACAAAAAAGGGGGAATAGGCTACTCACTTGAACTTCCTTTTGTAGATACTTTAGAAATCTCTTTTCAAAACAATGAAATCATGTGAGGTCTATTTAATTTGTGTTAAAAAACATGCCAAGGGTAGCCACTGATGAAAACTCAACCATGATCAATGTATCAAAAAGACTGTCTCTTCCACTTATTAATTTTGTAATTAATGTAGCCTATATGAGATTCTTTCCAAATTTAAAAACAAATTGGGTTTCCTAAAGAAAAATAAAGCTAGTAATTACAGACTGATTTTGAAACATATAGTAGCACAAGGTTAAGCATGGTGAAATAGCATGGAGAAGTGCATTTTTCATGTTTTATGGCTATTTAGACACAGCCACTTGAGTGCTTTACTGTTTCAGAATGTTTCTATTATTTTATATCTTTTTTATGAGAGAAAATAATAATGATAATAGTTACCATTTATTGACTTTATACCAAGTACACTGAATTGAAACAAATGCATCACATGTATAATCCCATTCACAGTGATTTATAAAGACAGAAACATATCTGCTTATTTTATGTGACAACATCCCCAGTAGCCAGCACTGACATTGGAACACAGTTGTTACTCAACAGATATCTATTAAATCATTGAATGATCTTTCCTTTGAAGGAGGTCCTTATTAGAAAAAAAGTATCTTAGTCTGTTAATATGTTACTATTACTGAATGTACTGTACAATATAAAATTTACCTTTATTTGTCATGGTTGTCTGCATTTATGATTGTTAGCATTGTAGTGAGTGAATGCTTGAGGGATGCTGTTAGTTTATAAGGTGTATAAAGCTGGAAATTGTGTAAACCATGTCTAAGAAAGTTCCTGACCAATGCAACATAATTAATGAAATGCCTGCAAAAACTTGGTCGTGATCCACATAAACTGACGAGCAGAAAACATGACCACTAAAACTATTTAGAAAGCATAGTCAAGATTTCTTTAAAGTTCTTTTAAAATTGTGGAATTAGGTAATTAAACATAAAGGAACCTCCAAAAACCAAAGCCAAGGCTCAGATGAGACTTACCAGAACGGTCACCACACGGAGAACTACTCCACGCATGTTGTTCTCAAGTTTCTTGTCAGTCAAGGATCCATTGAGTCCTGTGACAGGATTCCAGCACCCAAGCTGAAGGATAAAAACAGCTTTAGTCACATTTCTTTCTGAAGAACAGTTCAGTTGCAACTGTCTGGACTGCAAAGAGAGCTGTGTGAGAGCTCTTTGCATATTCAGTATAGAAAGTGTCCTGCACAGAATTCCTTCTCAACAGCAGACTGAACAATCAGAAATAGCATTTCCTGCTTTTCAAAATCATTTTATGGCATAGACACTACCCAACATGCTTTAGGAGGCTTACTAAGGACATCTGATTTAATGGGGAATTATATATACACCAATAACTCAATCACTAATTGGAAAAATAATAGCGCATATAATTCGAGCATAATGTCTACTCTAATATATCAGTTACTGCACAGGTTAAATTTTCTTGTAGCTTTAATGTTTTAATTTAACCTTACACAGTTTTTATTCTGAAAATAACTACTAAAATCTTTAAAGTATTTTGATATGATTAAAGGGGTAACTGCTTTATTTGAGGAGGGAGATCATGTATGGGGCTTTGTTTCAAAGTATTCACAGTACACAAAACAATGTAATTTGCCTATTCTGTCAGTGCTATGAATTTGTTGAAATTTTGGCAGCAGTCTTTCTGCCAAAGACTTGCAATGATTCACTGCTCTGTACCCTCTAAAATATGGGTTGCATTCTAGACCCTTATGGAGTTCTTACCCCTTGTTATATCCAAATCTGAGGGCTACCAGTTTAAAGATTAAGGCCCAAACACTGCATTGGGATAACAATGGATGAGTCTCAATCAGAAATAAGGAGGAAAGAAAGAGATGATATGAATTGGATTAAGAGATAACTACTCAAGGGGTGGAGCTGCCCAGAGAATACTGTAATACACATTTTGGAGGAAATGCACACTACAAACCCAAGGACCAACTGCATGAGCCTTCACATTTGGGAACCTACTCTGCATTCTCACATTTTAAAATGTAACAGAGCTTCACTCATATTTGGAGATTGTTCTGATAACTGAATGATTATAGGGGCACCTAGGTATTTGTGTTGTCTCCTTCTGATGACTGATTTATTTCCTAGTATTGGATTTTCTTTGTGGCTTCCAAAGTCATCAACACACTGGCACATCTTCTTCATAAATAAATGACTTAAGTGTTTCCCATTAAAATTCAAATTTCTCTTTGAGCTCTCGAAAGGTGTTTAATTAAGAAAATGAACATGTGCATAGTATATTGTAAGCGAAGGATTTGTCACAATATAAACAGCAAAGCCAGCTTTTTCCTTATTAAAGTAATCTGAAAAAGAGTGCTAATTGTGAGATTCAACTGTAAAAGCACATTAAATTCATACAATGATATGTCATTGTTAGTTACATAAAAAGTCTAATTAGAACTTAGATCCAATTAGCAAATCCAAATGTGTTGAAAGTCTAATTATCAGAGATATTGTAGTGCTCTTGCCAAATTTAACACCTTATGAAATTTCTTTTGAGCTTTTGCTCTCTTCTGAGGTCAACCAAAGTCTATCCTCTGTTACATTCCTGGATACATACTTTTTTTTTTTTTTTGGTGCTGGAGATTGAACTGAGAACCTTGTGCTTTTGAGGCAGGCATGGGGCCATTTGAGCTAAATCCCCAGCCCATGGATACCCACTTTTTCCAATGACTTTGAAAAGATTTTATTTTCCTATACCAAATAATATTAATAGAAAAAGTGATATTGGTAAGATTAAGAGAAGAGCTAAATTTCCAGTGTGTTATTACAAAATTTTACAACAGCATTACTTAATTTCAAAACTTAACCAATAGCCTTTAGAATAGAATCTTATTTGTGATAAATGTGTCTGTATCAAAGATAATAAAACATTTTCCTTCAAGTTGAGTTTTAAGTTTTGTGAGCCCATTGCAGGTTTGCCTAAGTAAAGCACATCCATCCACATGAACTTAATTGTGGCATTTTTGGTGTACTGAGCAGTCAAAATATTTACAGCTGGGTTAGCAGCAAAACTTATGGGCCAATTTGTTTCAACAAAACTCTGAACAATCACTTATGTAATTTCCAGCTGTTTCTAAATCAATATACTCCTTTAAATATAACTAAATATAGGCAAAGGTTTATAATTCTGAAGTACTCTAGTGTTGTAGGTTTGAAATAACAATAAAAAAGGATTTGGAATAGGTAGAGTAGGTAAACATATCTTCATAACTAGGGCAGTGGCTTGAATGTTACTAATGCTATGTATGATGTTTCTTCTCATTTTATTTTTCAGTTTTAATGTTTGGTCAGACACATTTTCATATATGTATTGCAAGACAATCTTTCCTATATGATAAATATTTTTCACCTTTTAACATTTTTCTTTCTCTCTCTTTTTATCTTAGTCACATGTCTTTTGATCATAGTACTTATAAACTTGCTCCTGTTTCATAGTAGCCATGGTTGGTTTTCAGGATTAATATATTCCTTCTACTTAACTCAGTTCTTCCCTCATATACATAAACTCCAGTGTTTCCTAAAAATTAGCTGTGGAAATTAAGAACTAAGGAGTTCAAAGATTGGATTTTAAGATGCAGAAAGTTTAAAATGCTGATTCTCTAAAAAACTAGAAATAAATCAAATCATCATACAACAAAATGACCTATAACAAATCAATAAGAAAATAAATGATACTTATTTCTTCTGTCCACTGCATTTTGAAATACGTTCTCCATGTCAGCTATGGTACTGAGCTCCTTGTACCAGATCTCACTTAGTAACTTCATAAGGAGATGCTATTACCATGACTGTTTTACAGGCAAGCGAAATAAGTTTCAATTCAGGTCACATACCTACTAAAAGATGAAACTAGAATTTATAATAGTTTTACTTAAAGTCCAGATTCCATGATTTTAAATGCATTTTGTTTAATACTTCTTAATTCGTTTTTATACAATCCATTTAAGGTAACAGGGAAGATATTTCTACTTTGTAGCCAAGGACAATGAAGCTCAACTTCTTGGTCAACTCTACATAGTATATAATAAATTCACATCATGGTAGTAAAATTTAAAGAGTGATATTATCCTTAACGTTTCTATAACTATTGTAACATTTACAAGTATATGTGTGCCGATTATATGAGTTTTACTTGTATTAACTCACTTAATTCTCAAAACAACTGTTTGAGGAAGGTACTACCCTTGTTCCTATTTTACAGAGGAAGAAACAGAAAATTGAGACGTGTAGTTCTTTCCACTTTTATTATCTTGTATCCACTTGAGTAGTCAAGAGGGCACTGAGTAGTGGAAAGAAATAGAAAAATGAAGTTTGAAACAAGGCACTCAAAAATATTTCTAGGATTCTTTATTTTGTGGGCTCAAATTGCTAAAAATAAACGTGGAACATATTTCATTTATCCTGGGGCCTGATGATGCCTAACAATGTATACCAAAGATAAATAAGGAAACAAACAGCAGCAGCAGATAGGGGAAATTATATTGATTAGCCACATCTTTTTGAAGGATTTCTCAAGTTTTAAGATCTCTTAATTTCTGCTCACATCTACTCATTTTCCTGCGGTTCACTTCAAGATATTCTGCTTGATTGTAAAACTCTTTCAAATAATAAGCAATAAAAATGAGTTAGGTTCCCATTGATTCCCACTGAATTAGTCTCTACAAAAAAATGTTCCTTACAGCATAGTCAGACTGACAGGCAGTTTGCTTAAGAAAAAACTAGAATTTCACACAGATTCAAGCACGAGGCTTATCTAAAAACTTCTTTGGTTTCATTGTTTGAAATCCCATTAATCTGACTTCTTTGGCTGCAATGAAGAAGGTTGTTTTGGTCAGGTTGTTTTGTTGCTTTAGTTTGTTTTAACAATCAGGGCAGGGACTAATAAAGATCACATACAATCTCATACTATCTATTCAGCAGAGCACCTTCCAAATAAAAAATAATAAAGTGGTCCCTCCAGCGCATGAAATTTACAGAATGTCACACTGCTGATGGCAAAACAAGATTGGCTATCTTCTGTGGTCTGGCAGTCTCAAGAAAATTTAGAAGAGATAAAGTAAGAACCAATTCCATACCCTTTCAATTGTAGTTTATAGATTTTCTATAGTATTTTCTGGTTACTGCCTAAAGTCATTAAAAACCTTTAAAAATCTTAGTGTTCTAATTATTTCCTTCAATGGAGCTTTGGCAATAATGATCATGTAGCAGTCTGTTAAAATCAATGTAATATCTTGTGTTCAACAAACTGGTTGATGTATTTGCATGAGTGCAGTAGCATGCTCCTAACATATATTCTAATGATTGGCTTTATATTTTTACTTTTTTTTCCTAAATGTTTTCACTTTTCATTTGTCCATTGCTTATAAGGAATGGCTTTTGACTCTGGAGCTTTACATCACTATTTTTCAGACAGTGTTAGATGTCAAAAAGAGCTGAATTGCTCAACTTTAATTTTACGCTCAATAGTTTGTAGACTTTAATAACGGGAGTCAAGAGAGCTTTTAATTGCATACTGAGTAGAATGCCCTGCTTATACTCAAATGGAATAAACAAAGCCTGGCTATACTACCAAAGCTCCAGCTGCAGGGTAGGAAACAGCCACTGCACTGAGGGCAGTGTGCTACTCACTGCTGTTTCATTTATTTGCTTTCATATCCTTTCCCCAAAGAGAAAACAAAGGTATAAGCCAATGGGCTTGAGAGCTAGTCATTTAGAAATGTGCATTGTTTATTTGGTAAATATTACTTGAGTAATGGGATAGAAATGCAAAAAAAAATGTGGCAAGTTGACATAAATGCGTGTTTATTAGAGCTAAATTGGGATGTTTTCTGCTCTGACATGTGTAGGAATGCACTGTGTTGGTAATCCCTCCAATAATAATTTTCTTTATGGAATTCTCCACCTGTAAAATAGGTTCCATGCGTGAGACTTGCTCCCTTGAGGATGATTATGTGCTCCTAAGAGTCTATTCCTACAGTTTGGTCATTACCCTGAAGTAACAGCCCTTCCTGAGATTATGTCGAATAGCCTTAGCACTTGAGTTTCCT